TCTCATTGCTTTACATAGTGTAGTTATTAGTTTACGCGAGTAGTTATTAAATTATGAGATCCATTGCTCACTTATTATATTTTTATTAAATGATTATATCATTTGACAATAATAACGTAATGCTATTGTTAAACTTAATATTTATTCGGTGATGTGACGACAGCCACAAAAAGTGTACATGTATGCCAAATTCTACCTGATTTTCTTCAGGCACTTGTGTATGCCTCACAATCCGTATAGTTTTGAATCAAGTCACAGTGAGTCACATGAGAAATCAATAATTCTTGGGGTTGGTGTGGGCTCCTATCAGTACATATTAATCAATACACAGTGTATAGGTTGAAACTTAAAACATGTGGTGCAAACTTTCTAAATTTTTATGTAAAGAATTAATGTGATGGAGAGACCAAGAAAGCTCATGCTAATGCAAGAGGACAATCAAGATAGACTTAATCAGATTTTCAAAGACAACTAAAAAATTTACATAAAATATTAACAGGAATAATTAATGAATTGGATTAATATGAAACATGCACAACATGATTTTACAAAATAAATTCGTTTAGCTGGTGTAGATTGAAAACAATCATTGATGATTCTTTTCCTCGTGTATTGAAGTGTCTTTATATCATTTTTCTCAATCAAAGGCTATAGATAATTCAAACTAAAATCAACAGTGCTAGTAAAAAGTCTGAATCTTTTTAATCGCTACAATCGGCTTTCTCTTTTTACAATTTTTCTATGTGAATCTTTTTCTTTTAATTATTAGCTGATTAAAAAGTACCCTTACATCCAGTTTAATCTAAAACCAAGTCAATGACCTTCTTATCATTTTTATTCTAATACCAACCATGATTGAGATGATACTAGGTATCTATCAAGTGATTCACTTATTTCTTGTGCGTGATGTTAGGTTCCCACGTCCAACACAAATTGAATTTAAAGTCAATCCGAATTAGTTAAACCCAAAATTTAATTTGAATCACTTAATTCGAGTTAAAAAATTTAAACATAAATAATGTTCAAATTATTTTTCTTATTATTTGTTTTCAATTTCACTCAATATTATATCGTCATTGCGTATGATTAACATGCTCGCTTATAGTTAGTAACTACATGGTAAGTTGGGTGAAATTGAGCATAAAAAGATTTCAAAATTGAATCGTAAGGTATAGTTCAAGTGATAATAGGGACGACCTATAAACTCAGACGTCATGAGTTTAAATGTTGGCAATTCCTTGGAGCCAAGTCATGAGGGATTTATTTCTCATGAATACATTAACAAATGAGAAGATTAATCGTGGTGTTCGTAAATTGGTTCAGACACTTCAAACCGTTAAAAATAAAAAAAGTGTAATAGAAAACTAACAAATCAAAGTTAGGCCTGTCCATGGGCCGGGCCGGGCTTAGCCCGTGAATTTTTTTTCGGGCCGGGTTGGGTAGTGTAGGTCTAAGCCTGTACTTGGGCAAGTAGCAGACCGGGCCGGGTCGGGCATCGGGTAAGGGTAGTTGCCCGCAACCCAACCCATCACTTATTGGGCGGGCTTTGCGAGCAGGCTTCGTGAGGCGGGCTTTTGTTAGGGCTATTGGGCGAGCTTTGTTGGGCAGGCCTATTATGGGCGAGTTTTTTGGGCCCTATTAAAAAATTATACAACTTTATTTAATTTTTTTTGTAAATTATATTTTTGAATTAAAAGTATAGTCAAAATAAAAATTGATAAAAATTAAATAATGAATAATTTTATTTAAGAATAAAAGAGAAATTGCATCACTATAGGATGAGTATATCCCAACTAGGTTGACACCTACCCACCTATCTATCATTTGCACAATTCTACCCATTAAAGATTTTTGTATATGAAAAGTTAGAATATTTAATACATGAAAAAAATACATCAATCTTAATATCTAAATTTCTAAATCTTCAAATTTTGGCATTGGAGAATTTATTTCCATATTTTGATATCTCGCTTCAGCGGCATACCAATTTTGAAGACACATAAGGGCTTCCATTGTCTTTTCATCTAAACAACTCCTATGCTCATCAATGACACGTCCACCTGTACTAAAAACATATTCGGATGCTACAATCGACATATGAACTATTAGTATATCATGAGCCATGGTGGAAAGAATTGGAAATCTACTTTCATATCCTTTCCACCGGACCAAAATATCAAAATCAGGATCTTCAACACTTGCCATTGGAGCATTGTAATATTGTTGAAGTTTAGTTAATCCCCTAAATCTTGACATACATCCTCTGTTCAAAATTGAAGCTAGCATAAATGTTTCACCTTTACCTTTACTACTACCAACAATATCACTAGAAGCTGAGGGGGGATTAAGTGTACCACTATTCCCAAATGTTACACTATATTCATTCAAAAAATTTTCAAAATAATATTTTATTTTATTCATATGGTTCATGTGCTCATCATTTAAGTTACCATATTAAGACATAAAAATACTTATAAGGCCAAATTCTTTAAATCGAGGGTCAATTAACATACAAAAACCAATAAGTATAGGAAGTGGTGAAAAATATTTATTAAATTTAGATTGCATATTATGTAAAATAGTAGAAAATTCGGGTTCATTACTATATAATTCAAAAATATCACTGATACTAACTATATGAACATAGACAAATATAATAGTTGAATAATAATTATTAGATAAAGTCATAGTTGATTCATAAAAAACTTTCAAAAAATCTTTTATTTTATCAGTGACATCTCATTCCTCTTCGGTGAGACGTGATAATGAACCATTGATATCTATACTAACATAGTCATTTAAGATAATTTTATATTTAATTGTCACATCTAGCATTTTATAGGTGGAGTTCCACCTATGTTGTACATCATATGATATTTTTTTATATTTTAAATTATTTTTTTTACGCATAGTTCCAAATGTCCTAACTCTTAAGTCTATTTTCAGAACTTATTATATGATAAATAATATGTCTAATTTTATCAATTATACATCTAATATCATAGAGACCACTTTGTACTATGATATGACACATACATCTCATATGAAAAAAATTACTTTCACATGGTAAAGTTAAATAACATTTTAAATAACTTACAGCCCCATTATTATTTGTTGCATTATCTAAAGTAATAATAAAAATCTTGTCTTGAATACAATAAATTTATAACTGATTATAAATAACTTCCGTACTATGATTATCTTCAATTCTAGTAAAAGTAATAATTTTTTTTTGCATAACCCAATTACCATCAATAAAATAAGTAGTTATACATAAATATCCTAATTGTTGACAAAAAATCCAAATATCAGAAGTCAAACAAATTCTACTTTTATGATTACCAAAATAAGCAATTAAATTATTTTTTTCTTTTACATAATATTTAATAACATCTCTTTGACATGTTTAACAAGAAAATTTTCGGAAGGAAAGATTAAAACCACTTTGTAACATTCTTTCAAATTCAGCATCGTCTACAAGAACAAATGGAAGATTTTTTATAATACTTCATCTAACAATTGTTTTTCTAACAGATTCAGGTTCATAACTAAAAGTGCTTAGTATACCAGTGTTAGCAGATTGTGATAATATTGTTTGTCTAATATCAGTTTGATCTTTTAATAAGCATGCACTTGAATGTCTAGTTAAGTGACTAGTTTCATTTTTAGAGCCTCCTGTAAAATCTTTTTTACAATAATTACATATAGACTTTTCTAATGTAATAACTCTATTAGAATTCTTAATTTGGATTTTCTTAAAGTGATATCAGACCTTAGATTTTTTTCTTTTATTAGATGGTACATTCTCTATAAAATTCATCTTAGGAGTTGAAAATAAATCATCCCTTTCACTCTTATTGATATTTTCATTATCATTAGACTCAAGAATTTCGTTATAAAAAATATTTTGTGAATGGGATAAAGTTATTATATAAATTAAACTATAAAAATAAAATAAATACTTAAATTATGTAAAAAAAATTTCTCGCAAAATGAGACCACTTGACAATCTTGAGTATTTGAGACAGCTGAACTGAACACTTGAGAGTTGAGATTTCAAGATTTTAAAACCCTTGAGATTTTAGTCTTTAGAACACTGAATACTTGTGAGTTCAGAGAATGTGAGTTTTTTTTTTTTTTTTTTTTTTGCAATAAAATATTAGCAAATGACCGAGTGTGAGTCGGTTAAAATGAAATTCATCGTTTATTTGTCATTAAAAATAATCCACCGTTAGCTCAATTCTCCAACCCGGTACAGGCCGAAAAGACAATGCAATATGATACAGGCTGAGCTCAAACTCATACCCGGTACTCAGGCTAAAAATTTATACTACCTCTCGATCTTCTCTTGCAAATTGAAAAGACAAAGCGTAGCTACATCGGCTATGAGGCTGACTGTCTGAAACGGTCGGTCACACAGCATACTGACTGACCGGCAGAAAAGAACCTGCCTCAGATACAATTCTCCAACTTTCTAAGTTTTTAAAAACAGGGCCGGCATAATGACTCAAAGTTTTGAAAAACTTGGAATTTAACACCCACTAACCGTTCAACCAAATTCAAAGTCTCACCCACACTACCATTCTTTAAATCAAGTCTTTCCTACTATTCATTCAAGTTTCCGACTCTTATTTTTATTTTTATTTTTTTTGAACAAAAGTCTACACCTCTTAACATAAACTTAACATATATGTTTGATAAAAATAAAAAATAAAAAAAAACATATATAGGCGGGTATGAGCTTCGGGTGTATTTCGGGTTATTGGGCCGAGTATTTGGACAAATTATTGGGCCGGGCTTCGAACTTCGGGCCAAGTAATAGGTTTAGAGGTACACCCAAGCCCTGTCATAAAGGCTATTGGACTCGGGCTCGGATGGGCTAATTATCGGACTGCGAACCTATTTTTTTTGGATCGGATAACGAGATCCGTAGGTAATCCGGGCTATGGACACTCCTAATCAAAGTAAAAGCCTGGAAAAGATGACAGCATTGTAGGTTCCACAAATCCACTAGTGCCACAATTCGCATTCTCAAACCAACATGGTCAGATTTCTCATACATATTCCACGACCAAGTACAACAACTAATAACTTACCCAAAAAAAAAAAATAGAGGACTAATCACACCATTGCAAGATTTTAAATTTTTTACTGTCATAATCCCTCGGACTTGGAAAGTAATAACGAAAATAACTAACCCAATAACAAATTCTGCAGCTGCCACCGTTGGAACCAATGAAGCAAAAGATTAAAAAATCTTATTTTGCACCCTAAATTTCTTTAAAAGATAGGAATGTGATCCCTTTTGTCCCGATTTATTGCATATGGTGAAAGAAGAAAAGGAACAAAATGAGACACATTCCTGCAATTTGAAGAAATTTCACGAGTGGACATGAGACTTTTAATCTTTAATGGGCTCATTAGTCACTATATATATATACTTTGTTCACCCTTTCACCTTGGAGATACTTTGGTGGAAGATTAGGCAACCATATTTTCCAGGAAGACACTGGTGAAGACATTCTTAGACTGCAAAGATGCCTTCAATATCTTCACACCCTACAAGAGATCACATTCTGCATCAATACTCAATGATTTTGACATAAACAAACTGGCCTACCAATATTTCTTTTACAATATTGAGCCCTCCCAACTGTGGGTCGTCTTTTAGACTCCCTCATAGGCTTGTAATTAGGCACATCGATCTAGTAAAGAATCTAACTTGAGATATCGGTGTATTAATCTAGACCTTTCATTCAAGCTAATTAACCCCAGTAAACAACTTACCAATTTTTAACACAATTCATTAATCGTTTTGTAGAATATACTAATACCCAAAAAACAGAAGCAGGAGACAAAAAAAAAAAAAAACAAAGCAGAGCAATCAATTCTTACCATTCTGCCCTTATGTACTTTTTTGTGTACATTTATGTGCAAATATAAATTTTTATTATATAATATTTTAATTAGTTTAAGAAAGAGTGCTTGAAAAGTCTTATTTATTTATTTATTTCTTTTTAGAATTTCTATTTCTTAAATTACAACACAATATTTTATCCACTTATATTTTATTACATATCTTATGTAACCACCTCTTCATTCCTTTAATTAAATATCATCCCATACAAAAAAATTTAAAAAAAAATTATTTGTATCACCCCATAATTTACAATTATTATTTTTCAATATCCCAAATAATGGAATTGAAAAATTTAGAAGAATTAAAACAACTTATAAATTTTGCATATCGCACGAGACTGGCTCTATTACGTATAATATCGGAATGAGTAATGCTATTTTGACATAAAAATTTGATATAATTTGTTAATCGAATGATATGATTTTATTTGAACTATTTGATCAACACCAAATTTCAATATTTGATAAGATCCACAATCAATTTAAAGTTCATAAAAAATTAGGTCAATAAATAACGTCAATAAATTAAATCTCAATAACGTTACTTTATGAAAATACATACCTCTTTCATCTCCAAATGTACAACCCTCTCCTCGAGAGCACCCATGTCCTTAACATTAAACTTGTTAAGCAAAGTAACGCAAGAGATGGTGGACATAGGCTGCACCACCAGATCATCCGTCACCATATAAGTCACCACCCCTTTTACATATCCTCCCTGATCATCGGCCACCGCCACCTCCTTGTCCTTCACCACCACCCGCGGAACGTAGGCCACCTCGCTGGACATAGAATTCCCGCAATTAGGACACACAGCACCAGGCTTATCGGCGATGTTTGGGCAAATGTAGTTCTTACACCTGTAGAACTTCTTGTTCTTCACATCTGAGACATTATCGAGCAGAAAAAATGGAGTTCCCGCATCAAAAACTTTGGGGTTCAAGAGAGAGTTCTTGTCCTGGTTTGGTTGCATATAGATTTCGCTCAAGTTTTCGATGCTATCGTAAAGATTACCGAGGCAACCCATCATGGATTGCTTTGTGAGAAGCTTGATGACAGTCCCAACAGGTAAAGAGAGAAGGTTGAAGAGGAAATCGACAAAGTCTTTGCCAGCTTCAGCGAAGAGAACTTTGTGGTTTTGTTTGTCAATGAGAAGCTTCAAGCTCACTTTTGAGGCTGCCATGGTTGTGACTTGTTTTAGTCTTAAAGAGAGCCTATGTTGATATTGGTTTTTGAGACTGCATCCCCTCCTTATAAATAGGGAGATATAAAGGACGAAACTATTGGGTAAGCTACTGTGGGTTGGTTCGAATTAGTGCGTAAAGAATGAAATTTTTTGTGAAAAAAAAAAAAATATATATATATATAAAGTAGTATACGATTCAAATTTCAAAAATAAACAAAAATGATTTTTGTTATTTGCGATTGAGATCGCTCTAAATTTTATTTTAAAGTTAATCTAACCGCTAATATTAACACCCTAAATTTAATAAAAAAATAGGTCTTAAGGGTGTGTTTGAAATGACTTTTTAAAAGTACTTCTACAAATTATTTTTCATAAATATTTTTAAAAAATAAAATAGTGTTTGAAACCGTCCCACCACTACCTCTTCCACCACTGCCACCATTGTTGACGCTGACATCACCACCACCACCATCACTGTCGCCATCGCTACTGCCAACACCACTGCCACAGTCATTGCCACCCATCACAACTATCACAGTCACCTACCACCACCACCACTCACCCCCCACTACAAACCGATGAGTAAATTTATTTATCTTTTTTTCTATATTTGTGATTTAATTTTGGATATAAATGCAAATATGTTTATTGTTTACCATTTTTTATTATCACGTGTCTTCAGACACAAGTAATAACTAGTTTATATAATAAAGTATATTACAATTCAAATCTCAAAATATAAACAAAATGTCTTTTGCTATTCATGGTTGAGATCGCTTTCAATTTTATTTTAAAATTAATCTAATGGTTAATATTAATACCTTAAATTGAATAAGAAAAATAGACCCTTAAGGATGTGTTTGGAGTGACTTTTTAAAAATATTTTTAGAAATTATTTCTCAAAAATACTTTAAAAAAAATAGTGTTTAAAACCACTCCACCACTACCTCTGGTTCTTTACCACCACCACCAGCGTCGTCGTCGTCGCCACCGTTACTACCACCACTGCTGTCGCCGCCACCACTACCGTCGCCACCACCACGACCACCACCACCGTCGTCGTCATCGCTGCCACCAATACCATCGCCCTCACCGCCACCATGGTCATTACCACCCATCATAACCATCACCGTCTCCTACCACCACCACTATCGCCCACCACGTTTCACCCCTATTATAAATCGATGCTTAAATTCTTTTATCTATTCTCTATGTTTTTGATTTAATTTTAAATATAAATATAAATATATTTATTATTTATCATTTTTTATTACTTAGTGTCTTCAGGCAAAGACAATAACTAATATATATATATATATAATCACCTACATGGATGCACATTTCAGTACAAAATTAAGGTTAATTGAAGTAAGAAAAAAAATTGATAAATGGATTAAAAAGTTCGACTTTATATTTAGTGGAAATGGAAGTGACAAATGAAATGATCAGTAATTGTTGGGTATAAATAGTACATTATGATCTGAGAATCAAAGAGAAGCTTCAAGCTTACTTTTGAGTTTGTCATGCCATGGTTGTGATCTAGGGTTAGAATGAAAAGAGTTAGTGATGCTCTAAATTCGAATCTTGTCAATTCTTTGATATTATGTCATACGAATTTTATCCTTTATGAAATATTCTAATTCTGGCGTCGATGATCTGCCTTTAATTAGACCGACAAAAAGATTAATTAAGATACACGTAAACTAGTCTGAATACCCTGTTGAACCAAAAAAAAAAAAAAGAAGCTAGCTTATGTTGATTTTGTTAAAATGTTCGTCTTTAGCATGTGATCAATCTTCCCAATGAAGCAAACCAAAAAAGCAGTAAAGAGGTCCCCAACACAAAGTCCTGATGTGAAGACCAAAATAAAGGCAACTTCCAAATTTTCTTCGTCATGAAGTATTCGATTTGTAATGGTTGGATGACAATGTCCATGAACGGCTAAAATATATATGAGTAATGCTACACTGATCAAATTTAGAGCCCAAATAACATGACAGTTTATTATTTAAAGTTTTTATTGGGGCTCAAATGACATAACACAAATCAAAGAAGCCCAAGTCAACTGCCATGTCATTTGAGCTGCAAATTTAATCTCAAAATTTGGTCAATCTAGCATTACTGAATCTATATATATAGAAAGTATTGATGACTAGGACTACAGACCAATTCCTGATCGAAAAACAACCATGTTTTATGATCAAAAAACAACCATGTTTTATGCCCCGTCCACTCCTTAGACCTATTGCTTGCCTTAGTTGCTTGAAAGGCTCATCCTTTATTCTTGCTTAACCCCAGCACTGAGAAGGGCAGGCAGTCCATACTATAATAGACTTGGTGGCCCGATCGCAACCTCACGGTACTAAACCCGAGCCTTGGCCGATCCAATTAGTGGAAATTTCAGTACTAAACCCCGAAAGGATTCTGATCATAATTGTTCAACGCGTCATATTGACGAATACTTTCATATAATTATTTATAACCATAGACATCTAATTTGACGTCTCATTCATTGGAATTACTATGAGCTGACTAATAGTCAGAAGAATCATCTGATTGACTATGTTCTTTTGACTGTTTACCATCTGATTACTTAAGTAAATTACTTTTACTAAAGTGAACTTTGACTTCTGGTCTTAATTGTTGCTGACTGACTACTTTATTGTTGTTGACTAACTGTTTTTTTTCTGTTCAGCGGATTACTTTGTCTAGCATAAAATAAAGAGACAATTTGTCTTTCTTTTTAGGAATAAAGTATTTGATTGAAGCTCTTTATTTTCATTTGGATAACTAGGCAAGAATCATTTTTTGGATCATGGGCCGAATAAGTCATAAGCGTCATCTAGGTCTTGGGCATCCTAAAATGGATCTTGTGGTTGACTAACAGAGGCTTCTGATGATGTTCTTCACTTACAATCAAGGTTGTTAATGTAAAAACAATTACGACTCTGAGATCTCCCTAGTCATGCCAAACAGTTTGGTTACTATGACTACATCGAGTCATGGTTTAAATTGCTAATCTATCAGGATGAGTCGTACACTCACTTTTAGTTCCTTCTATTCACAAAGGATTTCGAAAGCCAAATCTCTTCTTGTTTTTTGCAGTGGTGGCAGCAACATGGCCCTATGTCTGAAATTCTTCCTATTGATCTTCAAGATCAAGTTAACTATTTTTCATCTATTTTTCAAATTAGTCAACACAATTCACAGTTCCCTACATTACTCCTCTTCATGAGTAAGTACAAGGTTCAATGGATTCTTAAATGGCAGTACTTCATCACTGCTAATAATATTTTGAAATTCATTTGGTGTATTTTTTAATTCAAAGGACATTACGTTTTATTCGTAATGACTAAAGGGTGTTGTAAATGGAGTTTTGTATCTATTTTCTGATCTTATTTAGATTTGTTAGAATCCACTTTTCAAATCAAACTTTGAAAAAATTTCTACTTTTTTCTTCGTTTTATTAAATCTTGCTTGTTGGGAATTGGATACCTGATCCATTCCAACATTACATTCAATGGTTTATAATTGATTACTAATCTTGAAACTTCTCTTTCTAATTCTGCATTTTTCCATTTCTGTTTACTAGCAATGTTTTGTACATCTTGTTTCAAAACATGTTTTACACTTTTACCATCAATTCTTACTAGAAAGAGTCTGCATTCTGTAGTATATCCAAAAGAGACAAACATACCTCATTTTCAAATCTTTCTTAACATCTTTTAATTCGTTGAATTCAGATTTTATTAGTTAATTGGTTTTGCATTTCAAAGTTACTGGTTGACCAAAAGGCTTTGTAGTTACACCATCTATATCTGTAGTGAATGGATATAGAAGATAAGGTAGGTTCACCTTGAACCAGGATGGAACCTGGTTCATATCAATATACATTCTTAAGCGTCAAGTTGACTATGTTCTTCACTTAATCCATCTATGTTTCATTCATTGAGTTTGTTGGATTGAATTGAGAACTGATTATTGATATATATATATATATGTTTGCATGTGCGAAAAAATTTTGATTTTTTATTTTATCCCTAATTATTATAATAAAGTCAATTATACCTCACCTACATACTTTCATCTATTTTTTTACCCTAATCTCAAAAAGAGTGCAACAAAAATCTAGAATTTAGAAGGCTCGATATGTTGAGATTGATTCAAATTTTTTATTGGGTTTTTTGGGTGTAGGTACAATTTTTTAGTCTTATTTGAGGAAAAGTGTATGAATATGTTGTTTACTCTATTAAATTCAATTTTAATAAAACATATTGTGTTTAGGTACAAATTTTAAATGAAATCAAAATTTTTTTACCTAAATATCCTCCTTAAATTATGCATTCTTGATTAGGAGTTGTATATCTAAGCAAATATATAAAGATTTCATTAGACTTTATCACTATCTCTCACATATTTTCTCTCCATCTCTCTCTCCCCGTTATTTTCCCCATCTCTCCCCTATTTTCTCTATTTATCTATCATTGATAATTTATTTTCTTTTCAAATACGTAAAGATTTGATTTATTTTTTCATCTATCTCCCATATTCTCTCTCTCTTCTCCTATTTTCTCCAACTGTTTTTCTCTGTCCCTGTTTTCTCTCTCTCTCTATATATATATATTTTTATCAACATTACAACAAAATAATTACACTAATTAGTTACACCAATCAGTTATAATTGTCTTATAATACACCAAACACTTACTCATGTGTTCTAATAAACCAAACAATTAAACAAAATTATGACACAAACTCAATTTGTCATTCAGTAGTTTACATAAACTAAATAGTTACACCATTTAATATCGCGGTTTCATTATACCAATTATATATACCAAATTTAGTATAATGGTAAAGCCTTTTGTGTAATGATAAACCCAATTGGTGTATATAATTAGTGTAACTCTTTGATTTATGTAAATAATTGAATGACAAATTGAGTTAATGTTGTAATTTCGTATAATTATTTCGTATAACTAGAACACATGAGTAATTGTTTGGTATAGGATAATGTAATTGTAACT